ATCTATCAACTGCCAAAAGGCTTCAATCTTTGACCTATAATTTTGATGTGGACTGTTTATGCTTCTGGCATGACTGTGGGCCTAGAAACAAACATAAAGCAAGTGATTTGCAAAGTATCTGCAAATTAGACCTGCCAGCTGTGCACACAGACAAGCATACCCATAGCATGACAAAATCACTCGTTCAGGAAGGAATCTACAATGGCATGACAGGGATCCTTTGTGAGGAGAATGGCAAATTGAAAACATCATACAAAATGGGTCTGAAACAGATCTCAGGCCATCTAATCCAAAACAGGATCGATATCAGTTTCAGATACATAACATATGCAACCTGAAATACAACCTGCTTCAAAAACTCCCAAGACTAGGATACTACAACCTACTTGAGCAATCTTTTCTATTGTATCTCTACCTTTACCAATAAGGATTCTCTTCTACTGTCTCCCTGTTGCAGTTTAGGCCCATCATTTCTTGCATATACACTGTGACCTGAAGAAGTGTGGCACCCAAAACTGAACACAGAACTCCATCTGAACAGCTGAAGGTCAAGAGTTTTACACAGTAATCTAGAACGCAAAGCCTGACGCTTGAATTCGGCCTCAAAACCACAATGAACTAACAATCTATTTTCAAACCACTCCCAAAAGAAACCAGCCTTCACAGTAACAGCCTCAATATGGCATCTGAAAGTGTTTGAAAAAGGCAACAGAGCAACAAGTACTATTTCCCACTAAATCTGCCCTGCACATCCCAAATCAAAATCCACTAGTCCTTTACTTTGATGGCTCAGAAGCGTCCATGCATTGACAGAGTCACACTGTAACATTGCAAGGCCTTCCTCTAATGCCATCATCTGTACCACCAAAGTCAGTCTACCAAATACTTTTACATTCTCACTCATCCCTGCATTACATCAGCCCTTTTCATCCTACAGGTAAATTGGCAGCTATTTCCTGTGGTTGATCCACAGTGGATACAGAAAAGTAACAGGTCAGTCACTTTTTTTGTCAAGGGTCCCAACAAAAAAACAAAAACCAAAACAAAACAAAAAACCAAAACCAAAAGAAAACCCAAAAAAAGACCAGATCTTTTCCCTGATATGTTCTGTGCAGATGACAAATGACAGCGAAAGTGGTAGATGATTGTTTCTCCAGTGATGAAGATGTCTAACCTTTGCTTCCCTCTCCCTCCTCCATGAAAACATGTTCCTGGATGAACAAAAGCAGTTTTTCCTGAAGTGATGTGCTAGGAAGATAATCTAGAAGTCCAGCTGCTTCTTCATTATTATTTGAATCCTGATGACTCAAAATCAGCAACCAGTCACAAAGTATCATGAAGGCCTGTATCAAGCAAACAAAGACAAAGAAGGATTTAGAGACCATGTCTTTAAGATTTCTGTTTGTCCCAACGTGTGGTAAAATGCCACAGCTAAGCCCTTCCAGAACTTATCCCTTGGGATACAGTATATACAAGTATCATGCTTGAGCATCACCTGAAGTTTTTCAAACTTCCATGGGAAGGAAGAAGAGCTCTATTATGCTGGAATATCCCTCTTTTAACACATGAATCACTGGACAATTTCTCCAATTTTTTTTATTTTTAAAGTAATATTCATAGCAAGGCATTAATAAAGCAATGATAGCAACCAGTACAGGGATCAGTCTAATCAGAAAACACAATTATCAACTGGCAAATTATGTCATCCAGGTTCAGGCCTTGATTCTGCAGATGTACCTATGCAGACACATATCTATGCTTGATTAAAGCACTAACTTCTGTAGCATTTTAACTAACATAACTTTGATTTTCCTTTAAAATAAATAGTTGAATTTTTTTTTTTAAAGATTTATTTCTCTGCTGAGAGACAAAAAAATTTCAAAAATCAGTAGAAGGAAATACTAGTATGAAAAGAAAGGCAGGCATTTAAAATGAGGACTGAGCATGAATGCCAGTTAAGTGATGGAGAAACACAAACCTTTTCTCTTATATCTTTTTCATTATGGTGGAGGAAGCACATGCAAATCTGACTGTAACGTCTCAGCTCTCTTCTTAGTGCAAAAAGAGTCTCCTAAAAATGTATTTAGGAAAAGTGACAGGACAAATATGTTAGGGACTATGATTCAATAGAGAATTACAGAACAAAGAACAGTTGCATCTTTCTTCCACTGATATTATTCATTTAAGATAGCACAGCTGATGACGTTATTAAAGAAGCTGACATCTCACAGTACCAACAGCTTACTAGCTACGAACAACTTAAAAACCATGTCTTGTTTTCAGGCACAATATCTGGGATAGAAAGGTCAATCCATAAAAATATATACTTCCCACACACACTCTGGTGCAGAAACGTGACAAATACTAGTAGGACACGTGCATCTGTCACACCTGCTGAGGCTAGCCGTATTCAGCAAGTCACAAACTTGTTTCTCCAGCTGTAGAATGGGCAGCTCTAATAGCATGTATTCCCTTATTCACTTCAGCTTATCCTTATAAAGCAGTGATACTGATTTCCACTTTAGAGATGTAAGTAGAGTCAAAGAAGCTCTGGTCCGTTCCACCTACTTTTCAATGTGACTTGCCTTCTGGAGTGGCTCTTCTCTCTCGCTCAATTGACTACAAAGGGAACGCAGTTTCGCTACGCTGCTAACTTCAGCACTCAGAAACTTAGACACCTCTATTTGTTAAGATGAATCCCGCAAGAGCAACTATTTGATTTGCCCAGAGCCACATAAAAGACTTGCTGATCCTTCACCAGGTCCTAGCTGTTGCACTGCACTGAGCTCTGAGCAGTCAATAGAAGAGGAATGCCCTTGCAGGACGGCTGGGTTTCACGCTATGCAACTGTATCTTTATAACAAAGGGGATCCATCCCAGGGCATGCTGAGAAGAAGCAGACCATTGTGGGAGGAGGGGAGGGAAGAAACAGTCCTAGAGCTGCTGTCCAGGAAATGTTCTTTTCTGCTCTTGGAACTTCTTTCTCTGCCAACATCCAGATTTGGCCCTGCAGAGTGGGTGGTAACATTGTGCTTCCAATCAAAATCTGCTCCCACATGAAAGGCCGAATTAAAATATGTGCGGCCCCATTATCAGTCAAGCTAACCGTGTCTGGACTGAAAGGCAGAACATATTAGAGCAGTGAGAGATGCGGACATCCACACAGGAATGGAACGGGACGGGAATAGATAGTGAATCAGTCACCAAATGGGGTAACCTCCCAGCTAGCATTTCTCACACAAAACAAATGTTCATGTCAGCATCCTGTTCTGTACACACAGGAGCACCAGCCCTCAGTGTACTCAGAAATCACCATAAAGAGGAGCCACACAGGTACACATTCATACGTGAACCAAAGCATAAAAGAGTTTTCCTCTCTGGTGTGTCAGACCAGACTGTCTCCTGAAATACCTGCCAGACCTTGGCACTATGTAAAACCAATTAAGAAAGTAAGTAGTCAGCTGATGAAAAAATTACCACTTTCCTCCAACTTTTTGTCAGAAATATATAAGTAAATCAAGAAAATAAAAACAAAACAAAGCAACAGGACTTTCTGGAGTTTTCACTGAATATTCTTCGGTGCTTAAAACAAGAAAACAACAAACTGTTTGGCAGCGTAACAAGTTCCTTATCTCCATCAAGCCCCAGGAATTCGATGCACATGTTTTGCAGTAAAAATAGAAGTGAACCATTGTTCACTTATTCTCTTGCAGACTGAAAAAACATAAACACTTTAAAAAAATCAAAAAAAAAGAGGGCAAGACAGAGAGAAAATGCCTCAACTCAGTTTGGTTTTCTCAAGAAAACACACAAATTATCTTCTTGAGAAAGCTTTTGGGTTTTTTTTCTGGTAATCTGAGAACAGAAAAGCAACTTAAACTTCTAGAAGCACAACCCTGGGTTTCAAAATTATGTGGAGTGGCCAACCTTGGGAGAATTTTCCGAAACTGCAGCTAGCTGCCACAGGAGAGAAAAATACGTGCACTGGAGAGCTGGCAGGATCATCTGCAAATAAAAACACACCCTTTATTTACATGAAAGGCTCAACTGCAAAAAGCTTAGATTTAAACAAAGCATCCAAGCCTGACATTCTGCATGCTGCTTGCATGACCATTTCTGCACTGTATTTAGACCCTCAAAATAAACATAATAGGTTTACATACAAGTAAATATTGCCTCCTGAGAAACCTCATTACTAAGGTGCCGCTTCTGCAGAACTCTGACGTCTTGACGAGTTCAATGGAAAGTAATCATGCACTAAAAAGGCTGTTCACAGAGGCTAACTTTGGCTTAGCTTCTTAGGATTTCTCTGCAGTCTTTGGTGAAAGGCAGACTCCTCCAGAGGGCAATTCAGACCAGAAGCCAAACCGTGGTGCTCTGATGCTCCAACTAAAAGTGTCCACCTCTACCCACTGGCTGCAGGCTCTCTCTATCCAGCTAAATTCTATCCCTTTCCAAATAGCCTCAAGTTCTCTCCTGAAGATGGAGGCTGATGAACATCCATCATTGCTACAGTACTTCACCTTGTAATCCCAGGATATACCTCCATCTTGGCACGGCTAATGTTTGAGTTGAGGCAACCAGACAATCAAAAGGCCACAGTGGAGACAACTGGTAATCATAAACCATCTTCACCAAGAGTCAGTCGGCAAGCATCAGGTCCAAAGTATTCCAATTTCTGGTTACACGCTATCTATAAGGGGCTCCTCACAGTCCCAACAATTTCATAGGTACTGAGAGCAAGATTATGCAATCAATGGGAAGTACTGAGCATGACAAAGGATCAGTCCAGATGTCAGGTGATTACTCTAGTTTTGGACAATCTCCAAAATAAACAAATCTATGGCATGAATTTACCGATTCCAGTAATGTTATACCAAAGACAGCCTCAGTTTCCTAGACTGAGAAATGGAAACAGTATCTTCCTGCCTCAAAGACACTGACATAAAAGATTATTTACTATTTCCTAATTTTCCTCCTTTCAACAAGAAAAACATCTTTCAATGTTAAGTATTAACAACTCACCAGAACAGGCAAACTCCCATGTTCCATTTCAAACACCAGCAACCTTAAAGTCTTGTCATACAGATTCCACTTGGAGAGATCATGGGCACTGCAAGTGAAAAAGAAACAATAATGATACACTATGCAAGAAATGAAATCTCACCTGACCAAACCAATTAAATGTGTCCTGTTTTACCTTCATCGGATGTACAGCAATAACTTTAAACAGCTAAATATTAATTATAAGGGAGGAAAAATGAAATTAAGTTTTTCATGTTCTAACACTGCAATCTTTAGTCCACAGATTTACAGACTGCATTCCTACCACAAAACTGCAGTGCCATGAGGAGAAGAAAAAGAAGCTTGAGCTCTATACCTTTTCTATACTCTATCCACACTCTCTAAGTGCCCACAAAGGTCAAAAGAACAATTTCCCCGCCCTGCTTTAATACAGTGTTTCTAATATTCTTGAGTGTTCACAACTCAACATTAGACTTCTCTTTGCAAAAACAGAGCAGCCCTAGCATGCAGGATAGGTAAAAGACACATTGAGAAGGCAGCCCAATTCCCCCACCTTCTACTATCTTGCATGATAATTTACTTGGTGAACAATCCCTGGAGAACCAAGCTTTTGAGAAATCCATCTTTTAACAAAAGAAGATCAGATAAACTAAACAAACAAAGCAGATTACATCTGCTGGGAAAAAGACTGCATTCACTATACCCTCTTCAGACTGACCACCAGTTTTGACAATAAGGCAGTGCAAAAGCATCCAGTTAGGAGGGAGGCACCACAGAGAGGATCTCTGTCCACTCTGACATTCCAACTCTGTAGCACACACTTCTTAGCCACATTAAGGCTGATGCTCCAACTTCTGTAAGGAGTCCAAAAAGAATTCTGTATCCAAGAGTACGGTTGTCTAAAGAAGAAACTAAACCTTGTAGCACCTCTGTCCTGGTTTCATCAGGGATAGTTAATTTTCTTCCTAGCAGCTGGTGTAGTGCTGTGTTTTGGATTTAGGGAACGAATAATGCTGATAACACACTGATGTTTTAGTTGTTGCCAAGCAGTCAAGGGCTTTTCAGCTTCTCATACTGCCCTGCCAACAAGAAGGTGGGGGGCGCCCAAGAAGCTGGGAGGGGACACAGCCAGGACAGCTGACCCAAACTGGCCACAGGGATATTCCATAGCATATGCTCAGTCATGCTCAGTATATAACTGGGGGGTTGGCCGGGAGACGGTGTGGCTCAGGAACTAGCTGAGCATCAGCTTTGGGTGGTGAGCAATTGTGCTGTGCATCACTTGTTATGTATGTTCTTTTATTATTACTGTTATCAGTCATTGTTATTATGAATATTATTCTCTTCCTTTTCTGTCTTTATCTCAACCTACAAGTTTTCCCTTTTTCTTTTCAATTCTCTACCCCATCCCACTGGGGGCGGGGGAGGGAGTGAGTGAACGGCTCTGTGGTTGTTTTAGCTGCCTGCCGGGTTAAACCATGACAACCTCTCATAGGGATCATTTTCATTCTCTTGTGAAAAATCTTGTAAAACCCAACAAACAAGAGCAATTCTCACTTTGCACCTGTTAGGTTAACACTTAAGTATATGGTGAAGTAAACTATGTAAATAAACATCTCACTTATGAAAAGCTGCTACTCTTCTCAGAGCAGAATGCATCCGGGAAATTCCTCCTGCATCCGTACAAAATCCTTCTTCCTAAGTTAGGAAAGTTTGGGAAAGAGAAAGGAATTAGCCAGCGTGGGGCAAGGTAACTGCAATGTTCTCTTCCCAACCAACCCACAAGCTTGAATTACTCTCCTCCAGCCTTCCCCAGTCCCTTCACCTTTAACGATGCTACTCATGTCTTCCTCTACAGCAAAAAGAAAGTAACACATTGACTGCACAGAAATTTTGTATAAGAAAATGTCCCTGTCATTAACAAACCCACGGCAGCCTCCCTAGACTACAGTACTGCTAACAGAGAGTAAAAACTAGCAATTAGGCTACCACAGAAGTGCTAACCCTCAGACTCACAGGCCATTCACGGTCCCTCACACAGTTGTTAGGGATCTCTGGAAAGCTGACTGTTCACATGGTGCTGACTCTCCTTGCTTCCAGCTGCCAGATCACATTCAAAGTAGCTAAAAATATATTAAATACTTTCCCATAGATGCAATTGCTGTAGTTTCCACAAGGATACTACGTGATTATGGGAGATGGTATATACAACCAGGAATTAGAAGGGAGGGGTTCCAGGAGAAAATCTCTTTATTTAGATATGGATCACACTATGAAGGAGTTGAAGAATCCCTGGTCTAGCACTTACCTTGTTTCTCATAAGTACACATTCTCCCACATTGACACAGATATCTATTTAAGACCAACAAAATAAATCCAATCTGAGGTTAGGGGATTTTTTGGCTGGACGCATTTTACAATATCCCAGTGTCCAATAAAAAACTGCCAGTGTTAACTCTCATACCATGGCATGACACCTGTTCATGACGGCACAGTTGATCAGATCAGCTGCAGGCTTCTGTTGTTCAGTTCAGCCAGCAAGCTATTCATATCACCACCAGCTGTTTCTGCTTTTTAGAACTAATGAAAAACTTTGAGGGAGACTCAGCAGTCCTCCTTCAAGGGGAAATTTCAAAGACCCCAAAGCTATACAATCTGTATTAAAGACTGCTGGGTGGTTTGGTTTTGGTTTTTTTTCCTTGTACTATCTCTACAGCCAAAGTGGCAGCACAAAGGGCATCTTATGAAGAAATATGTAGAAGTACAGAACTATACCTTTTGGAGAACAGTCTCATCACCTATAGATTCACAGCACTTCTTAGCTGATCTTGCACATAGTATCTTTGGCACAGTAATGGAGCCACCAGGAAACAACTATGGAGCTTAGCTCAAGAACATTCAGAAGGCATAAAACAACCTGGTGCTGGTGTGGACTACCTCATTTATTATTTTCTCTATTCTATTCCTGCCAAAGTACATCTGCTTCATTAAAATGTAGACAGACAATCTTTTCAGAGGTGCAAACCTATCTTTGAAAGCTCTGCCCCCCTCAAGCAGAGAAACAGCAGGCAAAGAATAGTTTCATATCCTCTCAATTTTATTGTCTTCTTTTTTCATAGGGAACCACTCGGTTTATCACCACAATGAGTCAAACTCACCTTTTCCCAGAAGCCATCTAGTAGCTGGTTAAGCTGTTCCATCAACTCATCTATCAGTTGAGTTCGGGCACGATCCACCTGGCTGTAGATGGCACTTTCTTCACTGCAGAAGATATAATAAGTCCTGGAGGAAGCCTCAAGAACAGACATATCAGAGTGTTTGGCCACAATGTCTTTTACCTCTCTCAGCAAAGCATCCAAATGCTGCAAGTGATAAAAGAGGTATTATAGGTAGATTGTACAAAAATCCACTTGTGCTTTAGACACTTTTCACCAGGTCCATTATCTCTATAGGTCATACAACCAACAGGAAATAAAGGCCAGTCTAAGGAGCAAAGGGGCATGATTAGAGGATACAACTTTTTTCTAGGTTTATAGCTCTTTTTCATTATTAGTGTCTCTGGATCTTCTTAAAAAATGAAGCAACTGCTTTAAGTTCTACTTTGGCAATATACATTTGGCACTACATAAAAATAAAGACAAAGGTAGGGAATAAAAAATGCCTTTCTAAAGGACAGGTGTGTCTCCACACAACAGAAGTTGTCTCCCTCAGCAGCAGAGGACAGAGAATGTTTCAGATCATGTCAGCAACTGGGGTCTTCACTGTTAGTGAGAGGAGGTAACTTCTGCCATTCTGCTGACTCTCTCTGTTCCAGTTAACGTTTTGTGCTGAAATTAACCTAGGAGTGTTCGCCTAACATTACCTCCCTGTAAACATCCCTGCTTAAGAATACATTGCGCTATTTCAAGGATTTCATCTATCCGTTTCTGACCATCCCTCTCCCATCAGCAGATATACTATCTCCAGTCTTATCTTTCAGTTACGATCATTCCCCAGCAGCTGGGAGTCAGTCTTCAAGGAGAATGAAACCTATTCTGTAGTAAACTCCTGGGAGGCACTAGCTCAGACACATGGCATAACCCACCCTCTCTCCACCCAACAACGAAAAAACCCAGAGCCAGGCCTACCACATGAAACCACAAATCATTACCTGCCACGGCCAGTCACAGCACTTCAGAACTGACAATCACTAAGGCTTTTCTTTGGCAGACTCAAATAAAAAAGTCAAGTCTGAATAAGACCACCTTCCTCAAGTTATGAGATCATTTCTTTGTATTTCAACAGTCTCCTTCCTGCTTGTTCGAAGTCACACTAAACTCTGTACACTGTCACATAAATTTAGTACATTCCGCATTAATCGACTACCCCAATTTCTATTCACCTTCTCTAGATGTCCCGTACTGTAAACATCTAAATCATAATACTGAGGAATCTGCAGAAGATTTGCCACTTTTTGTGCATCTGTTGAATACTGCAGAGGAAAAAACAGGATATGAGTACACGGTAGGAATGTTAATGAAATACTTAACATGCATTCACGGAGCAGCTGTTAGTTACCTTTGCCAAGAGCTGAGGAAGCACCATAAGAAAGTGTTCAGTAATTTTGGTACAATCTTCCAATTGTATTTTCTTCTCTTTTACTGACAGAATCTGCAGATAAAGCACTGTGTTTCGATTATAAAATCTCTTACATTCGAGTGGAATTTTACATGTAACCCAAGGTTAACTCACATGCCTTTGTCTAAAGCATATCAAGCTAAGATAAAGATACTCTTCCGTGGAGACAACCAGATGCTTTTTTATTTTTTTGTTAACCTTAAATTAGATGCAAATTGCTGAACAGCTATATCTTGTGGATAAAATGCTCACCATTTGTCAATAACATGCTTCAACTGGCTTTCCTCTAACGCTTATCTCCTTCAACATCCACTACTACTAAGATCTAGAGGTCAAAAGACTGCGCCATTTCATAAAAATAAGCCATTTTATTTCCGAAGACATACCTACCACTAGGAACATGCTGTCTGGCAAAGCACATCAGGCAAAAAGAATGTGATTACAGGACAATAAATAAGACTAAGATGCACTGACTTTTTTGGCTGCACCTCTGCTCACTGGAGGATGACCTTCAGCCGCTTCTCTAACCGTTGCGAGGATAATTTCAATGAGAGCACTTTCATGGGCATCACTCAGGGCTGTAAGTAAATCAGTCTCCTTTCAGCGTCACACAAAAGAAAAATGAAGCTGCAGCAACAGCTAATGTAAAGCCTACTCATTTATCTGAGCAACTGTGGAAGGACACTACAGAAAGGAAGATGCAGTGTTGCTAAACAAACACCTAGAGAGTGTTTGATTTAATTTAAAGAAAATTATTTTCTACATTTACAGAACACAAAAGCAATTATTCCTCTCATGGCTAAACTTTTTAGGGCAGTTGGACTCCCAAAAGCTTTAACAAGGCCTATTCCTACTGACTATTATCTCATTTGCTTATTTGAGTACCAAAATGCTTTAACTCACTGGGTGTACAAACTTTGATTTCAATCACACAACCACCTCCAGTTCTACTACAACAACTATTATTTAAGTTCACTTTAAAATACTTCTACACAAAACTAATCCTTTAGAGCGTTTGACATCTATGAACTCAGCACATTACTAATTTTCTGTTCAGGGGTGAACAATAGCCCGACAACACTGCACTTCAATCAATTAATAATTTTAGATTCTTCAGTTTTGGACAAACAAACAAAACAAGTGAACACTACATAAGCATTATGGCTTAATTACACAAGTATTCTTGCAAAGTTTCTAAACTAACATTACATAAATACAGCATACAGAATACCGAATAAAACAAGTGTGTTGATACAAATATTGCATTGACAGTGCATTGAGTTGCATCTGCTTTATGGCCCTTGGGGAACACAATCTGGGATCCAGGGGTATTACAATATGGAATGATCCTAAACTAGCTGAAGGCAAAGTTCAAAAAACACTATCAAGAGACTCATTCAGACAAAACTAAGCTCTTTGCTTACCCACCTTCTCCATCTTCTTCACCATTTTTTAATAGAAGAGTGGTCATGCACTCCCAGTCCTTCAGAAATTTGCCTGCCCAGTCCCACAAGCTGTCTATGAGGTATGCAACATGTTTGTGTAGCTAGGGATTAAAAACACAAGCTTATAGAAGAAAATGCATCATTAAAAGAAATACAGTTTTGTATGTTCGTCTCCTTTTTTCCAATTTCAGAGCTTTGTCATTCACACATATATTCACACACAGTATTCCAACATATTTAGTTTGAGGCTAATGAACATTTAAACACCGTGCCTTCAATTTGATACAAAGCAGGAAAATGGGGACGAAAAGCAGGAAAAAAGCTTGGTTTTCTTTCCTTTGCAATTTAAGTCATCTTTTTAAAACTAGCTGCTGTATTGCTTTTATATTGCTGATGATAACAACCAAAATCCTACCTTGGGACTAGAAACAAGTCAACATTTTGAGCAACGTGCGGGAAATTCTTCACAGAAAGACTCAAAACTCCTGTGCCCGAGACACTTTGGCCAGACATAGGTCTGCACCACTGCAAAAGCCAAATAGTGAAGTAGAGTACTTAAGCTGATAAAACTCTCAGCAGAACTATGCAGTTCTTAGCGTAGAGCCATGGTACAGCAACCCAAATCTGCTGGCAGAAATCACGGACACATACCAAAAACCCCTCACTCAGTGGCATTAGTCTTTGAGGTTGTTTTCAGAAGCTGCTTCGGCACTGATTCTCTCCATTAGCATAGTTGTAAATTAGTTTTAATACAACAGAACAGAAATGTCTTCATTAAAAACTCATCCTAGAGAGCAACAACATCCCAAACACCAAACATTTCAGAGCTCACCACCAGAAACAGCTTTCAAAAGGAAGCCAATAGTTGATTTAACATGTGACACTGGATTTAAAAGCTTACTGCAGGGACTATTCTCCTCACCTCACTCTCCAGGAAAAAACGTATTAATCTTTTCAACTGGTCAGTACTCGCCTCAAACTTCCCTCCTCCTTTGGGCTGAACTTCTTCATCTCCCTCATGACTAAGCAGCCTGCCAACAGAAAAGGAAGTCAGTCCAGTTCTGCCATTCTCCTTATACTCATTTACCAATGTAACACTAATTCTGTCAAGATCCCAAGGATTGTATTTCTTCTAAATGTCTACTTATTTACTCCAAATCACATTAGACTTTTTTATCAGATGAAAGAAAACGAGATTAGATTGTTTTCCATTATGAGAGATCTGTTATCCCTCTGGATGTAGAGACTGTTTCTGACAGTTTCACAGGTACTCTGCCAGCTTTCTGGACAACAGATGCAGATCCCACAGTGTTAAACATATAATGGGGTAGGCATTTGCTCATGCTTGAAAAGGGGCTTGCTCTAGGCTGAATTTAAACCTTAACAACAGAGTAGAGATATTGCTACCCAACATTATTCACATCATGGTACATTTTGGAACTGAAGCTTCTTAAAGACAGCATAGTATCTTGTAAGTGGCAATTCACTCGACTTCACAAATACAGTGGAAAAACTGTTCTTCCTTTTCTGTCTGAAATATGAAGCACAAAATGACACTTCAATTTCTATTTCCCTCTTTATCCAAAATAGTGTGACTGCACTGCTCACAAAAGGTGCTAAGCCCAAAATAAATACAGGAAGGCCATCCCTGCAGATTAATGGAAGGCCAAAACGGCTTGGATTTAAGAGAAGGACCACACTCCTCAAGGTCAGTAACACCTTATACTTTCAGAAAATGCTTCTGCTGGTATAGTTTATGCCAGCTAAGTAAGTAACCTAAGTTAAAAATGCAGACATTGAGGAGATTTCATGCAAACCAAGAAGGGGAAAAAAAAGCCTAAGCATTTATACTAAAACTTCTACCAGTATGACAAGGGAAAGGAGGTTGTCACTAACATCTCTAACAGACTAGAACAAACATTTCTATACTGGCAAAAGTGCACAGAGAAGAACTGGGCAAACAAGAACAAGGATGAGGTTTACAGGGTCAAAGTGTCCACACTTCACTGGGAAGCTGGGTAGAAAAAGTAATGGCAATCACTTCAATAGCAAAAAGCAGCAGTGTTCTGAGAGGAAAAACATCTGATTTATGACAGAATATTAGGACCAACACAGAAGACTAAGACTAGCAGATGTGATAGAAGACTCATCAAAACAGAAATTTATCTTCATTTGTCTCTCTGTTGGACTTGACTCCACAAACCCCAGAATGTGAGCAGTTCAGCTAGATAGGAAGAGACAGCTAGGAGGAGATTTTGCACATGTGAGAAACACAAATCATTATTATTTCTGAATTTTTCCCCACAAAAGTCTTGCCAAAATGTTTTTATTTTCATTCCTCTTTGTAAGGCAAAATTATTTCTCTCAGTCATAAAGACAGAATATTTATTTCTTTGCTTTTTAGCACGCCAACTCCATTCACTTCATGCAACCATTGTTATAAGAAGCCCATTTATAAGAGTTACTCCTGGGGAAGATAAACCCTGTACTTCATTAACCTGACAGAAAATTGGGAGAACTTTTTAATCTGCTGCATCTCTCATTATTCAAAGCCTTTACAATGTATAAGGCAACTTCCAAAGGGAGAAGAGGAGGCCATTTTTGTGATTAATCACCAAAGCTATGGCAATCCAGCAGATGCCAGGTGATGAATTAGCTTGTAAGAAGCAAAGCAACAGGAAAAGAAAGTAGAAAGAAAGAAGGTATGCTCTCAATATAGCATGGCATCTGTGGATCAGTCAGTTGTTTCATATTCTCTACGTCAGTCTTGCAACTTTCCTCATGCCTGTCGTGCCAGGGCTGTGCAGGGGAACAAATGATTAGCCCCAGACAGCATTTCTCTTCTGATTCAGCAGAAGAAAGCACATCTACTATGATCATGGCACACACTTCCAGCAGAAAAATGAATGCTTAATGTCCCTCTTAAATAAATCGACCTTCATTCTGAAACAAATGAGAATATGCAAGAAGTAGGCATGCAGGCAGGCAGGCAGGCAGAGATACCTTTTATAAAGGAATTCCCCAGCTGCTACTGCAAGCGGACGGTGTGTGGTATAAACAAACTGGTATAGCATTTCACAGTCTTCAGCTGATAATACATCCTCGCAGTTCCTAGGCAAAAATAACAACGGAAGTTATAGTTCAGGTTTATCTGCAAAGAATATTATGAATGCCATGTCCAGCTTTTATGAGACCTGATTCTACACAGCCGTGCAACTTGTTTACACAGCTAAATTTTTGTAGGACGTATCTAAAAATGCTATCAAACAGAATTGGCAGCATTCTTTTACTCACTTTGTACAGAAACAGAGGTCTGTGCAAGCCATGATGAATCAGGTCGACTGCATGGACATGAACATTAGTTTAAAGTATAACTAAGGTTGATTAGTGGTCATGGTAAAAAGAGTAATAGGAATAAAATAGGAAAATCATGCCTCTACTTTATGCTTACATATTCACCATAGAAGATAATAAACAAGAAAAAGCCATTTTGCAGTACAAATTCTTTTAAAATTATTTATTACACACTATATTCTATTACACTAGGCTTACACAGAGTCATATGTAAAAAGGAATCAGAACACATTCTTGATAGCATGCTTTTGACTGTGACCTATCTGCACAAACACGCTCAAAGTCACAATTTTTTTTCATTCAGCTACACATCTTGAGAATACCACATGCCAACTAGTAAACCTAGAACACTGTATGCGGGGAAGAAATGGTATTAATATCAACCCTTTACAAAAAGGGAACTAAAGTATCAAGGTTGATTAACCCACTGAAGAAATATCAGAGGATTGAAACCCAAAGCAAGGATTACAGTTTCAAAATGCTGGCTTCGTACTGCCATACCAATGTCATTGGACTAAGCTACTTCAGAGAATGAAAGAGCAACACATGAGATCCTTACACTTACTATAGCCAGGTGGGGGGAAAGGAGTTTGATTCATTACTGCACTCAATCCTCAGGTAGTAACAGTTTAAAACCATCTACAGCTGTGGTCCAATACTTTCTCTAAAACTGAGGATTCACGCTCTTCATTTACTGGGAGTATATCTTACAAAAATTAACAGCCCATCCTGCGCTTGCCCTTTTGTCTCCAAGCCCATTTCATCCTTTAGCATCCTAACAAGTCACAAAGCCCCAAAACATCCTCCAACCTGACTGAAAAAAAGTGAGCTTACATTAGGTGAGAGTATCACTGGAGTGTCCATTGCAAATATTTTTTAGCACAGTCTGGGATTTAAAATCAGTAAGGGAAAAAAAGAAAAAGAAAAAAAAAAAGCACTCATTTCTCAAAGCCAATAGAGGTTGATACCCCCTGAATTTTAGCTTTACAATGCATTTACTCATGTATCACTTGAATTTTTCACATTTTTCCTCATGGGTGGTTACAGCGGTCACTGGAACAGTAAAAAGGTATTTAAATGGAAGTGCGGATGGTATGTCTCCAAAAGTGATGGGTCAATCTCACAATGCTTGCCCTCAATCAAAAAGAAAAGCTGCCTTACATAATTCAGACAAGTTTTGGTGGCATCTTAACATGCAATTCCCTTGAATATTTATTTGCAGTAATAGAACATATAAAAAATGCTCTGAGTATATATTTCATGCAATTAGCATACAGGAAAACATTTATGTGACTCTTATTCAGCCATCTACAGAATTGGGGAAATAGAATAAAAATGTGTTTATTAAGATTAAATAGCAAGAAATTGCAAGAAGTAACATGGTGTGTCAGAGTATATGAATAAGCACCAGTGTGTCCTGTGAAGCCATGAATAAAGTATCAAATTTATTAAACTTCTACAAGTTTAACAAGTGAGAGTAAAATAAAGGCTGACAACACATTGCACTTACAGGAGTAAAAATAGGTGATATAGTAAGTTTTTATATTAAAAGCCTATAAGGAATTTGCTGAAATAAACTAGCAGTCTGACAAGGTTTCTTTCATTCTTTTTAACATTAATCTATTATTTAGATCTTTTAAAGCACTAATTTCTATGAAGCTGCCCTTGTTGTTTTCTCTCTATATATTTTTTAAAACAGCTTGAAAAAGAAGAAATTTCTATATAAACATACTGTGATCTAGAGTGGGCCAACACAGAATCACAGAATGGCTGTGAATGGACAGCACTTCTAGAGATCATCTAGTCCAACCCTCTGCTCAGAGGAGGATCAGCTACAGCAGGTTGCTGAGGGTTATGTTCAATCGGGGTTTGAATTTCTACAAAGTCAGAGACTTCATAACTTCTCTGGCAACCTGTTGCAGTATTGGACCAACCCCATGGTAAAAAACTTTTTTCTTATGCTTAAATGGAATTTCCCGTATGAACATGCTAGTCAAATGTACACTTCTTTTATGTTTGAATTTTTTATTCTTTACATTTCAGGTTTTCTCTTCTTAGCACATTTATGGAAATAGTGAATGCAACACTTGTGTGTCTCTATTTTAATAAAATTCCTTGCCTAAATTGTTTGGATAGCTCAAAGAGCTCAGCAACATGCCTGCCATCTCTTTGGGTAGATGTTAAGGACTCTGCCTTTCCAGTACAAATGAAACTGTCTTTCCTTAGAAATTTCCTTTCCTTAGGAAATGACCTGGGGGTCATGGCGGGCACCGAGTTGAACATGACCCAGCAATGTGCCCTTGCAGCAAAGAAGGCTAATGGTGTCCTGGGCTACATTAGGAGGAGCATTGCCAGGGTCGAGGGAGGTGATCCTTCCTCTCTACTCAGCACTGGTGAGGCCACACCTGGAGTGCTGGGCCCAGCGCTGGGCTCCCCAGTACAAAAGATGTGGACATACTGGAGAGAGTCCAATGAAGGGCCGTGAAGATGATTAAGGGACTGGAGCGCCTTTCCTCTGAGGAAAGGCTGAGAGAGCTAGCTGTGACTGTTCATTCTCGAGAAGAGAAGGCTCAGGGGGGAACTTATGAATGTGTGTAAGTACCTGAAGGGAGGATGCAAAGAAGATGGAGCCAGGCTCTGCCCAGTGACAGGACCAGAGGCAATGGGCATGCACTGAAACACAGGAGGTTCGCTCTGAACATCAGAAAACACGTTTTTACTGTGAGCAGTGGCACAGGCTGCCCAGAGAGCTTGCGGAGTCTCCAACACTAGAGATACTCAAAAGCTATCTGGATGTAGTCCTGGGCAACCAGCTCCAGGTGGCCCTGCCTGAGCAGGGGGGTTGGACCAGATGACCTCCAGAAGTCCCTTCTAACCTCAGCCATCCTGTGATTCTGAAATCCCAACCTCCTTGTTTTTAACTTTGTTTTCAAAGAGGCTAGGTATTTGCCACAGTTACATTAATCTACAGCAGTGTTATTTCCTCTCTCCTCAAGATAAGAGTACCTCTGGCCATGTATGAAGCAAATGAGGGGAAAAAAAAACGGGTTTTTTTTTCAGCACAGACTGACCAACACTCATGACACCACTTGAGCACCTGACCTTTTTTTTTTTTCTTTCTTGAATGGGAGGAAATACCTGTACGTACTACTGCTAATTTTTACACACTGCTCAACCACTACCCTCTGTGATACAATGAGGTTTATACTCATAACCCCCACTCAGATGAGTGTTTAGGGGTTTTACTTGCCTCTGGAAGTAGCAGCACTTGACTACACCTGCTACCACTAATACCACCACAGTAAATGGGTGCCTTTTTTTTTTTTTTTTTTTTACATACATAAGCCAATCAACAAACATTCAAAGAATACTTAAAATACAG